TATATATATTGTTGGTAAATGTTAACATTTCGCACTGCGAGAAAAGAAAAATATACGGAGTAAAAAAAAGGGAAGCACGTCTAAAATACAAATTTATTAATAAAAACGAGGGAAGAAAAAATATATAGTGGCAAAAGAGTCAATGTAAACGGTTCCTAGTGAGTATAAAATGAAAAAAATATCATTCACACACCTCTTAAAGACTGAGAGAGCGAACAAAATGCTCTTTCTGTTTGCATAGAGACGGTTGATGTAATTAAAAAAAAAAAAGCTTGTAGTATGCATAAATGCAAAGCGAATCGAGCTCTTCACAGGACAGTAAAAGAATAATTTTTATATCTTACCGCACACCCCGGATTGTCTTGCAAATGTTGACGAATGGCCGAGTCGTGAACAGACTGGGTACAACGCATACTGCAATTAAAAATAATCTGTGTCATTTATTCACAGGAAAATGTTGTCCCATCCGGTTTTCGATTTTGGTTCGTTCTACATAGTCAGTCTTGAACTGACATTTGGATTTATAAGCAACAGAACTAAATTGGAGCCAAGATAAACGTTCTTTGACAAACGAGGGAAAAACCAGATTAATCCCGAAGACAACTTGGAACTTAACCGTCGAAAAACCCGATATAACAGAAATCGATGCTCTATTGGTTAGGGTCTGATTTTTCCTATCCAGCCAAGTCAATTTCAAATATATGGTTCAGCACTAGAGCCTTGAAGCATTTAATTTTGCCTTCAACCGAAAGCTTGATGGCATTCTCAGGATACCCATTGTCACAGAAATCTTGTTTCCCTTTTGTACAAGCATTTATAAAACACAAGTTTAATAGAGTAACGGGAGAATTATCTTTCTTTGATTTTTTTCTGATTCTTCAGCTATTTGGCAAGAAATCGGTTGCAGTTTCAAGAGCGTATTAAGCTAAAGAATCGGAAATATTTAAATTTTCTGATCTATAGAAGGTTTCGAACGGAAAATGGAGACTTAAATAGGTATATATTTAAATTCTCTAATGTTACTTTCACAGGAACTGAACGTGTGTGTGTCTGTGTGTGCTAAGAATAAATGTACATTTCTACCTCAACGTTCGATGTAACGCTAGTTTCATGCGCGTAGCAATCGTCAGGCGAACATTAAAAACTGACCGTTGCAATATCGCGCAGTTTTATTATTGCCACCAGCATTCACTATATATATATATATATATATATATATATATATATATATATATATATATATATATGGTGTATCAAAAATTCTTATCAAAACTTTGGGGGCACGTTCCTAACACCAAAACAAGGACAAAAGTCCATATATGCATCTGTCCGCAGATCCTTCGTTTTTGAATGATTAAGCTTTAAGTTTACGGTAGACGCTGTTAAATGTACAATCCAAGATACCATCACAAAATACTTTGGGGTCGCGTTCCTGACACCAAAAGAAAGTCGAATGTCTGTATAAACATATGTCCAAATGGCAATCGTTGTCCCTCAACATAGCAACTCGCAACAAACATGTCCTCTGCTTCCTTCACAAAGACGCATATACCTGTCGGATCATTGACTAGCAGACCCTTTCAAATCCACCCATACGATGTCGAATGTTTTCACAGGCCCCCATGACACGTTGATGATGCGTCTCTGCATTATTAATGTCTGTTGCATAAACCAATTATTTTAAGTGGCACCACAGATAAAAATCCAAAGGATTGAGGCCGGGGGGAATGGGCAGGCCATCGAACCGGTCCTCCCATACCTATCCATCTTTCATGATAGATGTCAGTCAGAGAAATGTAACTAAAATGTGCTGGAGTCTCATCATGCATGAACCACGTGGGTCTTCGTATTAGCAAGGGTACATCCTCTAGCAGGTTTGGAAGTGCGTTCAAAATAAAGTCCCTGGAGACAGCCCCTGAAAAACGTGCTAGGAGAACGTATGGACCTATCAGATAGTCACCTACAATTCTAGTCCACACATTAATCGCAAAGTGATGCTGGTGTCTAGCCTGTATTGTACCATGGAGATTCTGATCCGCACACAAATGTTGGTTGTGTAAATTTGTTATTCTCTCTCTTCCAAATGTTGCCTCATCCGTAAACAAGACTGAAGAGACAAACAACAGACCAACAGTTTGTGCAATAGACCATCGGCAAAAGTTCTCCTGTAGTGAGTGATCAGAGGATCCTGCACAGGTTGCAAATGATATGGATGCTGGAGCTGCTCTTGAAGTACCATCCATGCGGTATCGGGATGTACGACATGCAAGGGCCACTTGACGCGTGCTGATACCTGGATCGTCTCGACAGCCTGTTGAATGTGTTCTTCGTGGTCAGGCGTACAAGCAGATCTCGTTCTTCCTGGAACCATAGTTTATGGTGCCACGGATCCTGTCTCAACAACGCGAGGATAAACAGCAGCAAAGGTTGGATTTGTCTGCCTTCGGTCTGGAAATGCAATCTGACACGGCCGTGCAGCCTCGCGTCCATTACTACCATT